ATTCAACTCATAGGACTTTCATTCAGTGTATACGCCAAGGGCTCATATCCATTTGTAAATAATTACTCATAATCATAATTACTAATAATCACTCCATTCTGCTCCTGAAAAAGGGAGACCACATGCACTACATGGAAAGCCACAGAACACACGAATGCTCCATAATATGAAGGCCCCACATAGGCCAAAAATATCACCCACTAAGCACCTTATAATCTATGAAGGGGAAGCATGGTGTTAAGACCTAGAAGATGACTGCAGACTTTTAAAGGCAGAATACCTTAGCCTAAATGATGATCTGTCAATTACAGGATTTAAACACAAACATATCCTCTGTAACTGTGCCATCCAATACAGTAGCCACTAGCAGCTATTTACATTTATCAAGTAGAAATTCAATTCTGGCCAGGCACAGTGGCTCACGCCTGTAATCCCAGCACTTTGGGAGGCTGAGGCAGGCGGATTGCTTGAGTTCAGAACCAGCCTGGGCAACATGGCGAAACCCCATCTCCACTAAAAACACAGAAATTAGCCAGGCATGGTGGCAGGTCCCTGTAATCCCAGCTACTTGGGAGGGCTGCAGTGGGAGGATCGCTTCAGCCTGGGAAGCAGAGGTTGCAGTGGGCCAGGATAGCACCACTGCATTCCAGCCTTGGCGACAGAACAATGCCCTGTCTCAAAAAAAAAAAAAAAAAAGAAAGAAAAGAAATTCAGTTCGTCAGTCACACTTAATGTGCTCAATAGCCACAAGTGGCTAGTGGCTACTACACTGGATAACACAGATTTATAAATCATTTCCATCCTCTCCAAAAGCTCTATGGGACAGTGCTGCTCTACAAATACCTCTGTAATAATCTGAAAATTACAACAATGAAACGTGATGAAGCACCTGTGCTCTGTTATGGCACATCAAAGCACGTCCACTGGTAACGTAGTACTTCCTTCCCAAGTAAGTCGAAAAGTAAAAACAACCTTGGGCATCTCTTCCAGCATATATTAGTAATCAAGAAAATTCACACCATCCAATCGGCCAAAGGAATTCACAAATTCCTTTGTTTGTGAAGGATGAAATTCACAAACAAGTGAAAAACTGATATTTTGCCCCTTCCTATTTCTTTGATAATGTGTTACTAGTATTGTGTACTTTCTGTGTAAGTTTTGTCTTGGGGTGCTTGCAGCTGTGTTTTTAGCCTGGTAGCTAGTAGCAGAGAAGGAGGTGAGGACAGTTCAGAATGAAGATGAGTGGTTCAGGAAAACACCGACACAGATAATGCAACTTAAATGGAAGTAAATTTAATTGCGACCAGTGCAATAAACTTAAGTGCTCACTGTGTGCCAGTGATGTGCAGATAAACAAGTCACCATTCCCACCTTTGAAGAGCCCAATTTAGTAGTGGTGTTCAATATGTAACAAACACAATGAGATATGCTGTGATATAACGCAGTAAGACAAGCATATATACAATGCAGAGATGACGCAGGGAGGGTATTTTTTCAATGGTTTCTGAGGAGAAATCAGGGAACATTTCCTGAAGGAGGTATCCAAGAAGCAGAAGAGCAAACTAAGCAGAGCCGTGCACAGGAACCCCAAGTGGTTTGGCAATGCTGGTGAAAAATGTGTTTCATGGTTAGGAGGATGGGGGTGGACAATGGGAGGAGGGAGATGGGGCTACAGAGCTATTTCCACACCAGACCACAGATACTCACGTTCCAGTCATGTCTGCCTGAGCAGGTCTGTAAGCCTTCCTCACCAAAACTGCAAGTAATATGAAAACCAATCCCTAAAATTTGTTAAATAATATACCCATGCCTGCCATAGAGGTTAACAATATTTGACAGCAATCAACAGGAATATAAAGTTCTTTGTGACGCGGTACTCTTAATACATACTGGTCACAAATACACTGTAGCTAGTATCATTTGTTTTCAGGGAGAAACCTCTGTTTACTATGAGTTTTCTTTGGAATCTCTGTACAGAAAACACTAATGAAATAGACTACTCCCACATCTAAACGTCCCACCAACAGTTTATCTGACCAGGAGACAAATGAAACAAATTAAGAGGAGAAAGGAGATGCAACAGCAAAGTTTCTGTACTCCAGACCAGTTTTTTTTTTTTTTTTTAATCCAAAATGCTAATGGCAGAACTTCTGCTACTCTGTACCACATTGCACCTCTGGGTACATCCAGCTGTGACCACACCACAACTGTATCGCATCCAGCAACCTAAAACACTCTTGTGGTTGCTCATGCAAATACTTGGAAAATATTTGCCTCTTCCGGACTCTCCCCTTCATATTATACAAATGCTCAAGTCTCAAAAACAGAACAAGAAACTTCCAGAGAACCTATTCACTTCAAATTACGGAGATCCCCTCTCTCCTTAATCCACAATAAACTTCTGGAAAAAGTCGCCTACAGGCCTTAAAGAATCTCCAAATGATTTTCCTCCCTTATAAAAGCAAAGCTTTTCAAACAAAAATCTTAACAGCAGAAATGTACCCACATAAACCAGCTGGCCCTTAGGAGAACATAAGTACTACTATTCACACAAACATAGGGCCCTTAGGCAAAGGGACGTTTTCCACGAGGCATACGTGTCTGTTGAAAGTAAGCGTTCTGAACTCGACCTCTCTAAGTCCTAGGTACAGTCGTCCTCCCTGATTTAACTCCAAGCTTTCACTCCTCCAACTGTAAAATAGGGGTAACAGTACTTTCACGAGTAGATCCATGTATGGGGAGCCACAGTATCTGACACAGAGACCCCACTGAGTGACAGATCAATATGTGTTAGCTATTTTAGCTGTTCTTACTATTTTGTCCCTAAATAGGTATGATTTCACAAGTAGCTATTCCATCAAGCTGGTTACCTGTATAAATTCGCACTCTGCACCAAAATCACTTACGGGGAAGTGGGGGTTAAAAATACACCGTCCAGGCCCTATTTGGATGTGGGTCCAATTGGTCTGGGATTGGGTTGGGCGTTAGAACTCTTTTTAAAGCACTCCAGTTGGTTATAACGCGCAGCCGTCCTTCAGGAGCACACAGAAGTGTCTACACGTCCACAGAGATGTACACACCACCTGTAAGATCCAAGTTTTGAGTCCAGCAGCGCAGGTAGGCCCTCCCGCCTGGACAAGGCTCCCCGAAGCGCTGCGACGATGAACCTAGCACTGCTCGCCGAGAAGCGCCAAACCCCTCACCCAGCGCCGGGCCACCCGCAAGACACGGCTCCATCGGGGGTCACACGCCCCCTC